GCGCCCGGCGTGAGTTTTAAGCCACCGGGTCCGGGACACGAACCGCGGTCGACTACGTGGGAGTCCAGCGACATAGCCATTACGCTAACTGCTGGTTCCCCCGTCTGGCCCTCTTTTATCTCACGGTAAATGTGGTTGCTTCTCGATGTCCCAGGGATCAGACAATACACACATACACACTGTCTAGCGCTGTTCTTGGAAGCCTCTGCTCCTCAGATCCACGCGCCCTCCCCTGCTCACACACCCTCCATGGCTCCCTATTGCCCTCTGAAGAATCCCAGCTCCTCAGCATGTGGTTTAACACCCTCCATAATTGGCTAGTTTTCTACCAACCAACACTCGTGTTCTAGCCGTGGAAAACTATTGCCAAAACACACAGGGCTTTCTCATTTTGGTTCCTTCTGCCTGAACCATGCTTCCTCCGAGCACTCCCTGGGAAGACTTACAGGAAGCACACAGAGGGACCAGCAGTTAGCGTCATGGCTCTGTCGCTGGACTCCCACGTAGTCGACCGCGGTTCGCATCCCGGACCTGGTGGCTTAAACTCACACCGGGCGCATGTGCATGCGTGCCCAAGATCCCGAGAGGAGAATGGAGGAGGAGGGATTGCGGCGTGACCACCCCCCCTGGGGGGTGGTTTCTCGCTGTCTCTCTGTCTCTCTCTCTGTCTGTCTGGCGAGCGCACGTGCCCTATAGCAAAAACCTCTAAAATAAATAAATAAGAAAGCACGCAGATCCTGGCTCCACCAATGACCTCCTCTAGCCCAATTTCTCAAAAAGCTGGAAGCCTTTCAGGGCCCCAGCAATACCCAACATGGGGCGAGACAGCAAGGCTATTTAGAATAAATGACTAGCAGGTGGCATGGTGGTTAAGGCACTGGACTCCCACATGGCCGACTATGGTTCGAGTCCTGAATCTGGCAGCTTGCTTTCTTAGTCTCTCTCTCTCTCTTGCTGTCTCTGGTGAGCACGTGTACCTTATAGCAAATTTAAAATAATAATAATAGGAACCAGGAGATGGCATAGTGGTTATGTCACTGGATTCCCACATAATTGACTGCGGTTCAAGTCCTGGACCTGGTGACACAGCAGGCCCAGGAGTGCGCATGCTCAAAATCCCAAGAGGAGAATGGGAGAGAAGGGAATGCCGCATGGCCATCCTCCCAGGATGGTTAGGGGAGGGTGATTTCTCATTTTCTTCCTTTCTGGCTCTCTCTGTCTTTCTGGCGAATGCATATGCCCTATGACAAAAATCTCTCTCTCTCTCTTAAAAAAAAATAACATGAAATTTAAAAGCAAAGGGACCAGCAGTTAGCGTCATGGCTATGTCACTAGACTCCCATGTAGTCAACCGCGGTTCGAGTCCCGGACCCGGTGGCTTAAACTCACGCCGGGCACGTGTGCGTGCGTGCCCAAGATCCCGAGAGGAGAATGGAGGAGAAGGGATTGTGGTGTGGCCATCAATGGGGTGGGGGGGTAATTTCTCACTTTCTGTTTCTCTCTCTTTCACTCTGTCCCTCTCTGGTAAAATCAAAATAAAAAAATAAATACATGAAGTTCAATAAAATAATTCTAAAAAGCAAAGGAAAGAAATCATGAACTTTCTGCACGGAGAACTCCTATACATCCATCAAGACCCATTGCACATGGCCCCTGGCTCAAAGCCACTTTTGCAGAGCATACCAACTGCCTGGATTTGAATCCCGATTCCCAGGACACTTGGAGAATGTCCCCCTCTCCTTTCAGGGCCTCGGTGTCCTGTTTTTGTAGCTTTGTGGGTGTCCGGCCCCACGGGGCACTCACCAAGATGGTCAGCCAGCTGCCGGCCACGTTCCGATGACACCACCCGCTCATCCTCCATGTCACACTTGTTCCCGACCAGGAGCACCTGGGCATTGTCCCACGAGTAGGTCTTAATCTGGGTCGACCTGAGAAGGCAGTGTTAGGGATGGGTTAGGGCTTGGGGGACCCGAGCTCCACCCCCACGGGCTGGTCATAGAGAAAAAGAGAAAGACCCTTGAGGCTGGCCCCCCCACCTCCCAGGACCCTTCCTGCATCTCCCCTCACTCACCCACTCTGCCCCCCACCTCCCCATGATTCCTTGAACATGAGAAGCTCAGTCCATCCTCACGGCCTTCGTCCTGCTAAGAAGACAGTTTTTTTTGTGGGGGGAGGGTTTGTTCTAGGGCATGTGCACTAGCCAGGAGTGTCAGAGAAAGGGCAAGTGAGGGAACCAGCAGTTAGCGTCATGGCTATGTCACTGGACTCCCATGTAGTCGACCGCGGTTTGCGTCCCAGGCCCAGTGGCTTAAACTCACGCCGGGCACGTGTGCGTGCGTGCCCAGGATCCCGAGAGGAGAATGGAGGAGAAGGGATTGCGGCATGGCCATCCTCCCTGGGGGGTGATTTCTCGCTCTCTGTCTCTCTGTCTCTGTCTGTCTGGTGAGCGCATGCGCCCTATAGCAAAAACCTCTCCCCCCAAAAAGCACCCTCTAAGGGGTATAGCCATGCCAGAATCCCTTCTCCTCCATTCCTCCCTCCTTTGAGGATTTCGGGCACGCATGCACACGTACCTGGTGTGTTTCTCAAGCCACCAAGTAGAGGATTTGAACCACATAGCTGGCCATGTGAGATCAGGCTGCCTTAACCAGCACAGAGAGGCCTCCCAAAGTGAACTTCTCCAAAAATCGGTGAGGGGGACAGCAGGTGACATGGAGGTTGAGGTGGCTAGATCCCACATGGCCAAATCCCAAACTGGGAGTGTGTGCATGCCCAAGATCCAGAGAGAATGGAGGAGAAGGGACTGCAGTGTGGCCATCCTCCCGGGGGGTGATTTCTTGCTTTCTGTCTCTCTGTGTTTCTGGCAAGTGCATGTGCCTTATAGCAAAAACCTCTTTAAAAAAATAATAAGGTGGTGGTGGGGGGAGCAGATGGCATAGCAGTTACGTTGCTGGTCTTCCACATGCCTGACCGCAGTTCAAGTCCCGGACCTGGTGGCTTGAAACTCATGCCAGGCGCGTGTGCGAGCGTGCTCAAGATCCCGAGAGGAGAATGGAGGAGAAGGGATTGTGGAGCTGCCATCCCCCCTGGGGGGTGATTTCTCACTTTCCTTCTCTCTCTCTCTCTCTCTCCAGTGACCATGCATGCTCTAAAGCAAAAACCTCTTAAAAAGAAAAAAGAAAAAAAAAAGACAAGAAAAATTACACTGAAAGTGTGCATGCATGCACAAAATCCTGAAAAGAGAATGGAAGAGAAGGGATTGGAGTGTGGCCATCTCCCCTGGGGGATGATTTCTCACTTTCCCTCTCTGTCTTTCTCCAGCGAATGTACATGCCCTACAGTAAAACTTTAAAAAAAAAAAAAAAAAAAGCCACCACGCGACGTG